AAACTAGTCAGTTAAAAGCTTAAATTTATAATACCATAAATAATACAAAAAATAGCAAAACAGATGGTAAAGTTGGCAAACCCATAGCTAATAGCTAAAATTAGCAAAACAGAAACCAYAAGCTAAAACTATCACAACAGTAGATAAAGGTAAACCTAACAAAACTTAGCTAAAAGCTAAACGTGGCATAAAACAACTAAAAATAATGCTAAAATCAGCAAAGGTGTAGCTAAAATAAGCAAAACGGTAGTTTAAAGCTGTAACTAGCAAAACTGCAATTAAAAACTAAAACTTTACCAACCATAGCTACAGGCTAAAGTTGTCAAAAAGGAGCTAGAATTAGCAAAACTGTAGCTAAAAAACAATATTGGTAAAACAATTGGTAAAGTTAAACACCATAGTGCTACCTATGATTAGCAAATCAGTAGTTATAAGCAAAGATTAGCTGAAGTTAAAAGTAACAAAAAGCAGATTCAAAGATAAAGCAGTGTTTAAGTTTTATAAAAGTTGTACAACTTTATTTTTATTTTAGATCCGAGACCTTCCAGATCATTACTTTCACACACTGAAGTTTCTGGTCGGTCACCTGAAGACCGTCGCAGACCACTCAGACAAAAACAAGGTGCGTTAAAGAGCCATATTCGGGTGTTTCAGCGACTCGGGCGCCGTCATAAACTCACCTGTTTCCTGTTTCCTCCTCCTGCGCTCAGATGGAACCTCGTAACTTGGCTCTGGTGTTCGGACCCACCCTGGTCCGGACGTCGGAGGACAACATGAAAGACATGGTGACACACATGCCTGACCGCTACAAGATCGTGGAGACGCTCGTCCAACACGTGAGAGAAATTTACACACACACACACACACACACACACACACACACACACACACACACACACACACACACACACACACACGTTAATGAACATGCTAAGTGTTTGTCTGTCCTTCCCACAGTGCACCTGGTTCTTCACTGAGGAGCTGGACAAGGATGAAAAGGTAAAATGTCGTCATCTTTTAATAAACTTATAGTTAATCATAGAATTTGCATTTTCTACTAAATTCACAGTGAATGTTAAATGCTGAAATATTTTTGTRGAAAGCTGCTGAAGAAGCTGAAAACGTTTATTAACAACACTGTTAATGTGAGTMCAYTTTGAACAACTGACATCTGCTGAAATTAGRGGGGAAAGTTAAAAATTGGTAGAAAAATGTATCAAAGTAGCTGAACAGGGCAGAAATGTGGCTAAAATAGCAGAAACAAGGTAATTTAGCAGACAGATGCTAAAAGTACAGTAAAACGCTCACATTAGTGAAAATAAAGCTAAACACAAGAGTTGCAATTTGTTATAAAACAATTCAATTCAGTTTATTTATATAGCGCCAAGTCACAACATACGTTGTCTCAGGGCACTGTACATGAAAAAAA